TAGAGGGAAGAAGGAGGGCGGGATGGGCGAGGTAGAGTTCCCAAAAAATCGCGTGTAGTTCAAAATTGCGAAGGGCGTTTTTGCCTGCCAAGGCAAAAAAAAAGAGGGAAAAGAGGCAGGAAAATGAGGAAGGGAGGAAAGGAAGGAAGGAAAGGAAAAGAGCTGAGCATGGATGACAAAAAGGAAGGGGAAGGGGAAAGAGGGAAAAGAGGCAGGAAAATAAGGAAGGGAGGAAAGGAAGGAAGGAAAGGAAAAGAGCTGAGTATGGACGATAAAGAGGAGGGGGAAGGGAAGGAGGGAGAGGAGGAAGGGAAGGAGGGAGGGCGAGAAAGAGGAAATAGGGAAGGGGAAAGGGGGGTACCTACCGTTGAAGGATTTGAGGCAGAATTGGCACTTGATGTGGAAGTCCTTCGGCGCGTATTTATGGATCGCATCATTCCGAACAGCCGAGGAAAGGACCTGGAAAGGAGAAAGGCAGGTGGGAAGGAGGGAGGGAAGCAGGGAAGGAGGGAGGGAAGGGAGGGATGGGAGGGATGGGGAAATGGATGACCCCGGTGACCGACAAGCGAGTACTATGCCGTGGGAAAAAAACAGGTGTACAACGATTCCTCTCCCCAACCCTAACCCTGACCGTAACCCTAGCAAAAGAGGAAGAGAGCACGGAAACAATACCAAAGAGAAGGGCCCCAGATGAAAAACAGCCATCGTCCTAAATCCACCTGACCCCAGCTCCCAACATGGAAGCGCATCGACACGCACCGGGGAGGAATCGACCATGACCACCCCACCGAGTTGCTCCAGCTTCTCCTTAGTGATCCGTTCGTCCCAGGCCGGGACCTGAGACAGTTTCTGGTCCAATGCCTGGAGGACTAGGGAGGGAACCTGGAGGGTTTGGGGTGGGAGGAGGAGGGGAAAAACGGGTATGGGCCGTGTGTTATTGTCTCCTCCGTCCCTTTTTTTGGTTGTCCGTGTCCGTCCACGACCCCGTGTCCTGGCCCCACCTTCTCCAAATTGCTCAGGCGGAGCTCCTGCGCCTGCGTCGTCGCCTGGGAGAGGGTGGGGAGTGTACGAAGTGTCACTACTTGATGGCGTTCGGCGGAGCTTCCACGGACGTCTACCCATAAGCGATCGACGGACACGATTCGGTGGCCAATAATGCCACGGCGGCAGCTACCTTCCCTCAAAGACGCATAAATATTTTCGTGCGTGCTTCGCCATTTTCCCTTCCTCCCTCCCTCCCTCTCTCCCTCCCTCCCTCCCTGCGGACCTCCGTCAATTTCTTGCTCCGAGACGACCATTCGGCCGTGGAGGCATTCGGGCCCTTCGTTTCATCGTCTCCTCCGCCTTTGGCATTCCCAGGGAAGGAAAAGGCCTCGAAAGGAGCGTCGGGCGATTGGAAATCCTGTAATAATATTGGGAGGGTAACAGAGGGGAAGACACAAGGATGGAAGGGAAAGTCATAAAGAAGAAAGGGGGGGAGGCCGATGAATGGAGCGACAGGGGGCCGGGGTTGGGGGTAAGAACAACGCCATTGTCGAAAGGGTAAGGTTGGACAGAGGGAATGGAGAGGGTAGGAAGCCCGACAAGACGGACAATGAAAGGCGCACAGGCGGAGAAGCAGGGCGGCTCGCAAGGCTTGTACTACCGACGAAGATCGTCCTTCTCCCTGGTGGCTGCTTTTTCGCCCGTACCCCTGACTCACCTGGAAGCTCTCCTCCCCAAAGCTGTAGGTATCCGCCTTGTCGCCAGCACCTGAGAGAAATGGCGCAAAAGGAGGAGGTGAGACAGGGGCGGAGACGTGAGACCGGGTCCGGTGCCGGGAGAGAGGAGTGGGGGAGGGAACGAGAGAGCAGAGGAAGAGAGAGGACCTTACCCCTTTCTCCGGGCGTCCCAGCACCGGCACGAGGATGGTTCGCCTGGTGGTACGGCGGTGGGAGGAGGGAGAGGGAAGGGAAGAGGGAGGAGGCGGCGGTGGAAGGGGGGGAAGAGGCGGGGTCGGGCTTCAACCAGGAGGGGTCGACGTGTTGCCACTCGGCGTGGCCAGGGGTGGATACGGGCCGAACCGGCCCCCCGGACGCCGCTGCTGTGTGCGACGGATGTGGCGGTGGCAGCGGCTGCTGTGTTTGGAAGGCGCCTGGGGGGTGCAGTCGCTGGGGCTGGGCTTCCCCGCGGGAGCTGTGGGCGTGGGAATGATCTCGTTGCAGGAAAGACGACGAGTTCCAAGGTTGCTGGTGCACGCGGTGGGGATAGGCCGGGCCAGAGGAAGGGGTGGAGAGAGGGAGGGTCGGAGGGAGGGAGGGAGGGAGAGGACCCGTCATCGAGTAATGGATGGTCGCGATCGCGGTGGAGCGTTGGGTAGCTGTGGAAGGTTGGGGTTAGGGTTAGAATTACGGTTAGGGTCAGGGTTCGGGTTTGAATTACGGTTAGGGTCAGGCTTAGGGTATGAATTACGGTTAGGGTCCGGGTTCGGGTTTGAATTACGGTTAGGGTCAGGGTTCGGGTTGGCAACCACTATAAAAGACGAGAAGAGAAATGCAAGACCGTCGAAGTGTCGCATTTCATGGATTGCGGTCGTCAGCTACCCGGGTGAAAGCCCCCCCTGCGCCTTTTCTCCGCGTAGGCTCTTCTCTATTTTCCTTCTTTCCCATGTCTTTGTTTGCACTCACGTTCGATGACCGCTCGGTGCAGCAATTCGCTCGCTTGCGGTTGCGAGAAGCTGGGGTCATGCCCAAGACTTGCCAAGGATTGTTCCCATCGCGGGAGAGGTCGCTGCTGTTGATGCGGCTGCGGTAAGTGCGGGTCAGGGTGGTGTGGTAGGGCGTGCGGTGGTGAAGGCGTTCGGTGATGGCGTGGTTTGGGTCGCATGTGTGGTTGCTGCTCTGTTCTTCCATAATGTATGGGTAATGGGGGCGGTGGTGGTGGTTGAGAAGGCACTGGTACCGCTTCCGATTTGAGTGATGCTGACATTTGCGCCATCTGCCCTTCCGAGGGATCTGGTCGCTGCTCTTTTCCCCCCCCCGTCCCCTCGTGACAGGGTCCTGGCTCCGGAGGGTGGCTGTGGACGGAGAAGGGGCGGTGGGAGGGCGGGAGGGAGAAAAAGGAGGACACGGCGAAGGAGGGAGGAAGCGCCGTGGAGCCCTATGGAGACAAGGGGGGAGGAGGAGAAGGAGGGAGAAAGGTGAGGTTGAGGTCGACGGTCGTGAATCTGGTACATGAACCCTTCCTGGATCCTATTTTTTTCTGTCTTGCTGTCCCTTTCTCCTTTCATTGCCAATTGCCCTACCATTCCCTTCCTTGATCAACCCTCACTTCCCTCCTCCCTTCCTCCCTCGTGCCTTTTTGTTCGTTCACCCTCCATCCATCCCTCCCTCCCTCCC